TCGCCCCACGAAAGAAGCAAGCAACAGGTTTGTAGAGGGAGGCTAATTTCTTCAAACAATCAAATCAGACAAAGATATATAAAATAGTACAATAGCATAGTATAGTTCATCCACAATCCACTTTCATTCTCATATCCTCATGTTCTTAGCAACTCCATCGATCCTAGAACTCCAATCCATCGAGGAGGGCTGCAGTGACTGACAGTGACTGACTGACTCGACCACATGGTCGGATGTCTGGAACATGCCAAAAAACGTTTGCCGGATGGAAGGGGAACAGGCAACCTTGCCTCTGGTATAGCCTATCCCAACTTGAGGCGCCATCTGGTCTAACACCTAAGGACACCAGCAATGCGAAAGGACATGGTGGACTCCTGCATGTAGAAATTGTAGCTGCAGGGACTCCCAGTCATGGTTCTTGTTGCGAAGAACAAAATGCCAACACCACGTGATGGACTGAAGTTCTGTTGGTTCACTTGAACATATATATATATATAATATATATAGTTATATATATATATTATATTCAAATAAACACTGTTTTTGCTTTCTATTTGCTGGATTGCATTGGCAACACGTCTCAACAGTGTCATTGAATCTTCTTTCACGAGACCGACTTTTTCCATGCGCCAGACTATGTTTTTTCACTCATGTTTCGACTCCGACTCGGATAGAAATGAGCTGCAAGACTCCATGTTTTCACCGTTTTAACACCTTTTTTAAAAGATTCTTTACATGGCCGGCCACTGCTCATCCGGTTCGCTCAGACTTATGGCTGCGTGAGAATACACACATTGTATGGAGAGATCTATAGCTGGTTCATCCGTTCTGCGTCTCCAATAGACTACCTGTAGCCCACCTGCTGGACCTCCAAAAAGAAACACCCACAACGGATGATCTTGGTATGTATTTGCTGGTGTCCGATCTCCATGAATTTCTGTACAGTTTCGAAGGACCCAAACGTGCCGATTTTGCGAACCTCGACCTTGATTCGGCAGGTTCGACTCGATTTTGAGGAGACGGAACTGGTAGGATCTGATAGCACGGAACTCGATCTTCCAATCGGACGATCTTCGGAAATCCCAGCATGTTGATTGGGACAATATTCTAACACATGTTGTGATGCCCCATGATATCATCCATTTACAGAAGGACCGCGGACTAAACCAGTAGGATCCAGTGGTCCTGCCTTTCGATGATATTCTATTCTGTTTAAGAAGGGAGCGCACCAATCCCAACAGAGTCGCAAATTCAACTCAGAGTTTCTTTCGGCATCTCTTGCATTGCTTATAGTTCAGCGATGGGTTAATGAGTTTGATGATGTGGCAAGCATGTAGTCAGTCGCCCACTCCTGTGAAACGTTTTGGGGTCAATTCGAATCCCTTTTACAACTTGAAATTGCCAGCTTGTCCTTGAAATGGGGATGGGTCATGGCACTAAATGAGCCGGACCCGTCCACCATTGGAACGCAACGGGTCCGGGGGTGCGGCACGGTGCCGGGTCGGATAACTGGTGCCATGACCCACAGACATTAATGGTCGTGGCCAAGAAAACCACTGGATGACACTCCCTAAGGATCCACATACCTTCTCAGAAGGTACTTGGACCAGTACCCTCCAAACCTACATAACAGTGTCTCCAAGCACCTTCTGAGAAGGTACTTGGTTCCCTAGGAAAAAGTCAGGTTCCTAGGTATGACGCTGTCAGGTTCCTCTATACACTTTGATCTTTCCAGAACTGCCTCCAGAACTGGTCGTGCGTTGTTGAGCTCGCGGCTTTGCCGACGCGACGCTGGCGACAAAGCGACGAAAACGGGGGGCATCAAGTGTCTATGGGCGGTGGAACTGGGTAGAACTGGGTGTACTTATCCTCCCAAACTCATGGTGCTGGTTGGAGATGGGCAATCTTGAGTGGACTTTTGGGCACCTCACCGTACATTCATTGATGTCCAGACATGGTGTTGCCTGCTTTTGGCTCCGCAGACCAGAAAGCTACGCCGCTACGCCCATTTTTCGTTCAAGGGCAAGTCACCCTGAGAATCCCAGGGGGTTGGTTCGAGGTCCAGTCAGGTCCGTCCGCAGGGTCCAAGGGCTTCTTGGGCTCTCTAGTAGATGGGCTCAACAGCTCACACACTCCATCGGTCGTGTCGACAAGCTCCCGAATGGTCCTCCAACCACTTCTTCTGCAGCGCTCTGCACCTGAGAAGAGTCGCAGCATTATCTAGGTGCAGAAATTAGGATATATATTGAAAAAAGAAAAGGATTCGTCGCGTTATCTATATATGGCCTACTAGCAATGGCCTCCACCCTACTAGCAATGGCCTCCACCCTAGTAGTGGTGGCCTCCAACCTAAGAGCGTTGGCCTCCAACCTAAGAGCGATGGCCTCCAACCTACTAGCAATGCATGTGCGGAAGTTTGAAAAGAACAATCTGTTCCAACCTATAGACCTAGACATTCTTTTAACATCTTTTAAAACATATCGGCTATCCGACACATATATCTTATATACCAGACCATCCTGTTTGGGTGTCCTGGCCGGACTACCCCTACACTTGGGGATCTCCAGACAGGATGGTCCAGGCAGGTTGTTCAACTTGGGCTGATTGAGAACCAGCACGACGTCGCGCCAAACCGGCTCGGAGCATCGCGCCAAGAGCCGACCGCGCACTCGCGCAAAACGCCACCGGGGCCTCAAAGCGTCACATGTTGCTCGATACATCTCGAAGAGTATCTCGAAGCCATCACAAGATGATGCCATATACTACCAGGACCCACAGTCGGGGTGGTTAATGGACACCCCTTAACCTCTAAGGGGCTATCAATAGAAGCCCCTTGGAGGGTCCTGGTATAACTTTGTGTATCTTTGTGTGTTTTTCTTATTGGCGTGATTTTGGGAGTCACTACAGTCCCACAAACCGGTAGTACCGGGGGTCAGCGCCTGTGCGGTCACTTACCGTGGGTCCAGACAGCGGGCTTCGGTGAATCTGAGGATATCCGTCACAGGCATAAGGCGCAAGAGATCAGAAGCCAAAAGGGCTTCGGTTTGTGCTAAAAATGCAGTGAATCGATGTGGATTCTGAGAAACCCGCAGGTAGCGCCCGATAGTAGCGCCACCTTTCAAGAGTTCTGCCAAGAAAACATGTCTTCCAAACTGGATTGTTTGTTAGGTAGCGGCAGGATTTCCACAGGATTCAACCTCAGTCCTTGCTCTATTTTTGAGGCACCAACTTTACGGCTCTACGCCAAAACCACGGCGGCGTTCATGAGCGCTCATTCTACACCCGTTCACGTGAGCGGTGTCTTTCAGCGTAGCTTCCCACGTCTTCCTTCAGTGCCAATGGTGTCATGGGCCAAATGCGCGAGGCACTGGGAAGGGACATGACGCGAAGTGCCATGGGGAAGTAGAGTTCTTTGCTCGTGCTTCCTCCACGGTGACCAGCGAACGCGGCCCGAAGTCAGCGGGTCACGCGGTTTGGGTCACACGGTTCGGGCCAAATGGACACGTCAGAGACGACCGGGACTGGAATTGATAGCGGTCAGGCCAGGGGTGGTTGACCTATATATATATATATACACTACCAAAATAGTTATATACCAAAATATATTGGGTCTGTCCATGTCTGTCCTATTGTATACAGTACCTGTAACAGTCAGTAAGCACTTATGACTTTTAGAATAGTTTAGAGAAAATGGCCATGTACTAACCATCATCATTCACTGTTGGTCATGGGATATACCCGAAACTTTCAGGTCTGGTCGTGTCTGGGATCGATGGCAGAGGAGACCCCGGTAGACCAACACAGGGTTCTTCTTTCAACTCGAGTCCTGGAGTTGTGCCAAAAGGACAGAAGCCGATCGATCTGGGCCGGGGGGGGAGTTCTTCTCCAAAAACGCCCATCACGGCGTGAACCTGACCTGGCAGATGACTAAGAGAAAGCGTTTTCACCGTTCGGGACGGTGACTCTGGGCGTCGGGGCCACGTGTGGCCGCGCATGTGAGCAGCGATCCGGTCAACTTCTCAGGGTTTGACCCAAGAGCTCCAGGTGACAGCCATACTATTTCCCTCACAAGAGTTGAAGAGCTCAGTCTTGCCAAGTGCTGAACATGGAGTGCTCAGTCTTGCTGGGAACATTTGTATGATTCCACTTCTGAATTTCAGATTGCACCATGAACATGTAGCATGCTTCGCATGCTTCAAGAGGGTTTTGCCTTCATGGCAGGTGCTACCCGGACAACCCCTGGTGCGTTCGCATCATCTCCGCCGCGACCTCGACATTTGAATTGGGCAGGAGTGGGGAGTGAAGAGTGACTGCCCCCCGAACTTAACCCTGGCGCTCCATATAGATCCATAGGTTAAAAAAAGCCTGGCCAGGGTTCCCAGCTTTACATAATGTCCCGGCCGGCCATGTTGCAGAGTGACCCTTGACGGGGAAGCAAGTGCCTTCAGCGTCGACACATCACGCATCATCCAAACACATCCAAAAAAAGCAACGCATGCGCCAATTGTGTACCGGGGTACCAAGATAATGGACACACACACACGTTCATCGGGGGTTCTTATTCATAACTTTAATTAACATTTGTACTAACAGCATATAATCTCAATGACTTGTTGCAGGTGGTTTGAAGCCACCCACCGCACTGGCTGTCTTTTCGCTTGCTTCGCTGTGGCAAGCGGACCACGGAGGTCTGCATTTGCATCATGGGCTGCATTGGGTCTGCTCCTGAGGATCTGAACATCATGGAAGTGGAAAGCCACCTGTTTGTAAAGGTTATCCAAGCGATCCAAGGGGCCATATCCTCCACTTCCACGGAAAGTATATATATATATATATATTAAAATTAGTGTGGCGCGATTTGCAGGAAAGGGCCATGCCCTGAGAGTCCAACAGACATGTTTTTCAAAGAACCATTGTCAACCATTCTATTGATGGTCTTTGAAGCCTAGGGTGGCAGTGCTTTTTTTTTCATGGAGTCAGACTGGTTTTGACATGGCGACATGGCGAGCTACGACTACGACATGCTGAGGGTGGCCAACAATTCTCGCATTGCAACCATGGAGAGCTACGACATCGTCACTCAAATGTGAAGCCCTCAGAAAGAGTCATCAATGAGGGCAGTGTGGGCAGATGAAAGTAGCAAACAAATTACACAAAACTCTAAGAGTAGGTTTACATTTCATCACTTGTTCCTGGACCCTCAAAGTCCTATACTCTAACCATTTGTAACCCCAAAGAGACAGGTACTTGTACTGATTTTCTGAGTTACTTTGAGACTCCAGGTCTATTCTTTCTCTTTATTAGTGCCCAAGACCAGAGAGCCCAAGACATGCGACCGGATTGCGCCCAGTACAGCAATGTGCGAAGACGCCACTTTGAGGATCCACTTGGAGTCTGCGCAGTCGAAGAAGTCAAGCCTCCTGCCTGCGGTGGGTTATTCGGTCAGGCGCGAGCCAACCGGCGCGTCGACTCGGTTGAGATCGTTGTTTGAGATCGTTGATTGTCTTCACTGTTACAGCTTGACATCGGTTTTGCTTGGTACTGTGCGGAGGGGCGGACTTTAAGCGTTTTTGCTTGCTACTCAATATTTGACGTTTTATGACGTGTTCTTTTCTATCGTTTTGTGTTGTGCGAGATTCATGGGCAGTGGCCTTCGCCCTGCAGGTTGCTTATCATTAAAGTAATCCTGTCCACCTATTTGAAAACACGCGCCCCCCCCTATGAAAACCTCGGTTGCATTGTTGTTAATAGGGGGTCCCTGAAATCGGGGCTATCCAAAATAGGGTCACCTGGGAAGAGCTTCAAAAAGAAAAAGTCACCCAGGAACATGTTCGATCAAATCCTTTATTACACTCGTATCAAAATTTCAAAAAGCCTCCAGATCGAAGGGTCTTCCTTTTCCCCTACAAAAACCTTTGTTAATTGGTTGTTTTTGGAACTTATAATGAAGAAACTACCCCAAAAATCGACCATGTTGGTAGTTTAGTAGCGGTTTGAAAGGGCATTAATTTAAAAACACATATAATCCGTATTTAGGGTTTCGGACGTATTCGGACGTGGTGTTTTTTTAATTGGGGACGCTTTTTTTTAAAAGGTACTCGGGATTACACCAGAAAGCCCAGAAGCGGACATACAAATCTCTTGCAACACTGCAACTTTCCTTCATGACATGCTCCAAGGAGCACAAGAACTTCCAAAAGAACCTTTTGGTTTGATTGGTCCAAACAAGCATTGAAGTTTGCGGTCATCACATCAAATGGTGAAGAACTCCTTCCTCAGTCCGAATTCATTGCCACGACAACCGACCGCAGATCGCCGGACGCGGATTCCTGATGATTCCGAGGATCGTTGGAGTGTAGTAGCTCTTCTGACTAGTAGCTTCTTGTTACTGGTAGCTATTTGCTCGTAGTAGTACATCATGCCGCTGTTACTATAGTAGCTTCTTGTTACTAGTATTGCCAGGAGCTATGCAGTTTTCCGGGTGGCGAAAAGTTGTCGGGCCACGCCGGACTGAGGAAAGCCGATAGGATTGGGTTGCTGAAAACAAGCGATGCTACAGGCGAATCAAATAGGAACGTTGCTGTAGTGTGACCCTAAAATGATTTGGGCAACATTTGGACCGACTTTGTGGCAGACTCCAAGTATGATCGCTGAAGAGGCGATCGCCCTGTTTTACCACTGGGTTTGGCTCATGAGTTTAGTCGAAATACGATGAGTTAGAGCTCCAGGCAGATGGCTATGGCAAGATCTTTTTCCTCCCCAGTAGCACAATTGGCAAAAGGGCGGAAGATTAGACGACTTTCTCCCATTGAAAAGAAAACACAACCAGAGCAAAGCAAACTGTATCAGTCGAGGTGGCATGGGAAACCAATTGTTTTCTTCCGAGAACTGTGTCGCCAAACTTGCTGCCGCGGTACGACTTTCGAGCACCATGCCTGGGCTCGCCTTGCCTTCTGCGGCGTTGCGGCCGCACAAGCTCTTGAGCCCACCAGGAAGCTTTGGCAGCACGGTCGAAAGGACTCGACATGCTTGGCGTGGCCAAGTCTGGCTATGGCTTGCCCCCAGACCAGCCCAAACCCGGAGATCTCAAGCCAGAAACCCTGATCTCACTGCCTCCATAGATGTCAAGTCTATGAAACCCAGTAATTATTCACTATGGATCCAAGCCAAGACCTTGAGAAGGTAGCTTGACCATCCCAAACCGAATTATTACCAAGCACCTTCTCAGAGGGTATGTCATGGATTGCAATGACTCTGGACAGTCACGCTCCCAAATCGCGACCTCTGCCTACTTTTCGCTCAGGAAAGAGTCCTCAAAGCTTGAGCCCCGCGGTGAGTCCAGCGAGGAATCTGCCGGGCACCTTGCTGCCCTTGACGGGCGTTGGCAGCCCCTGCTCCAATGAGTCTGGGCCCATGATCTCACCGCAGACCTTGAACCTCAAGGCCAGGTGGCCATAGGTGGCCTTGTGGGTTGGGGGGGGCATATGTGGATGGTTCTCTTTCTGGAGAAGCGGTGAGCTCTACCATGGTCAATACCTTATGCCGCTTGTACCATCCGGATTAGCTCAAAGGTTGTTCAGCTACTGTAACAGCGTGTCAAAATGATTGGACCTATAGAGGGTCCCCAGTGACCCTGGACTCCACGTCCTTTCCTACCTTTGAACATGGGGACCATGCGCCCAAAAAGCGCCTGCGTACGTATCAGTGCCCATGACATCCATGACCTGCATTGAAAAGCGGATTAGGATCGACGTCAGGTTGGCCCCGCAGGCTATAGCTTGGCCCCGGATGTCACCCATGGAAATTGACGTCGATGGATTAAGGTGATTCTTGATTCGTCCGGTTCCGGGGTGCATCCCCGGACGACCGTGCGAGAGTTCAGCTTCCCGAAACGACCTCCGTTCGCCCTGTCGCGACCCTGGGCGCAAAAAGAAATCAGACAAAAGCATGCAAAGAGAGGTTGTATCTCCTTCCAAGTGACCGAACTTGATCACCTGGTTGGTTCTGTCAGTTTGCCTTGCAAGTGAGGTCGGCTCAGGGACTCCCAGAGTCTGGGCCACGCGTCACCAACTGAAGATGATTTCTTCATCCCTTCCATCGGGGTGCCGCCCACCGTTCACCATGAGGCCTTGATTCCGGACCATGTGGATGAGGACATCTTCGATCGCTATGACTTCGAGGACGAGAAGTTGGGCGCTGGCGGTTATGGCAGCGTCTATTTGGCCAAGGAGATCGGGAGAGAGGGGAGGGCCGCGCTCGTCCGCGGCTCCTCTTCGGCGCCAAAGCAGAGGAATTCGATTGGTGTTTCATGGCTTTCCACTGGTTGTCACTTGGAGAACGAGATGGATCGATCTGAAATTCCTGCAAAACCTTTTGACCAATGCGACGCCGACGCCTGTCCATCCTGAAAAACCATGAAGATGGACCAGAAACATACCACTGTGATGATGGCCCTTGATTTAAAATGCTTTAAGTATATATATAGCCAAAAACCTCCCAAAACCCTTCCGTACCCAGGCCTTCCGCGGGCCCCCCCCGACGACCTGGGTTTTGAACACGCTCTTCACACGAGCAGTTGAGCAGCTGGTTGGCTTCTTTTTGTTTCTTTGCACTAGACCGGCTCGCCAGAAAGCAACAAATATCAGAAGGGCATGGCCCTAGGGCACATCCCTCAGAAGGTGGTTGGGGTGGGTGCCAGGGGGGGTCTAACTGATGTGGGCCAGGAGCCCGGATACATCCATGGTGGGTCCAGCTGTGAGTCCGGAGGATCGTTTCCTGGATGGGCGGATCGTGGCGGTGAAGAAGGCATTGATGATGGATGGAGACATGCGAGAGAACTTCCAACAGGAGGTGCAAATCATGAAAGAGCCTCGGTGCATGCGAAAGTATCATCTTTTTCCGTTTATTTTAGGATGTGCAGCTCTTTTCCATCCAAATTTTGGAGCAGAACTGGATCTTCCCAACTCACCCATCCAGGAACTAGATCATCCCAACATTTGCAGAGTCTATGAAAGCTGCTGGGCAAAGCACCAAGCTGCCAGAAACCCGGTTTGTCCACCGGTGACCTGCTGACGGGTCGTGGAGGGAGTGACCGGCTGACCGGACCCGGTACGACTTGGACCCTGGCACCGAATGACCATCACCAGTGGAGACAGTCCGTCCCACCAGTACCTGAGGTTCGGTACGACGACCCATCCCTAGGGATGGGACGAACGAGAGTCCCTTGGTCCCTAGAGAAAGCAACACCACGGCTGAAGGGAACGGGATTGGGATAGTTTTTCCCCGCCGGGCTGCTCCTACAAGCCACTATGGGCCACTTGGGAAAAAGAGCTCCAAATGTATCAAGCACCAGCACCCTCCAACAGGTCTCTGAAACAGTGGCTGAAATGGAGACTTCAAAATGGGAGGTGGTGACCTGGCAGATATCGGGTGCTGGCAGGCAGATGATTTTCTTCTTGGCACTTCTTGTTCTTGAGTCATGAAGGGTGTTTGTGTCTTACGCACCGGCTGCAGGGATGTATATCGGGTAAAGCAATCAAGCCACAACTTCCAGCGAGCGGTGTGAATATCAGGCTATGACCACGGACGCCACGTCTACCTGGTCATGGAGTACTGTGCTGGAGGTTGGAATTGACCGAACCCGACATAGCAGGGTCTCTGATGTTTTTAAAATCATTCCCAGATCGCAGAGCCCCTCCAAATAATATTATATGAGGGTCCATGAGCGTCTGGGTAAATTATCAATCTTGCTTCAGAACATTTTGCCTTTGCCCTTTGAGCCCGCATAATATGGAGATCTTTAAAATGACATCGCTCATCTTTTGTTGTGGCCGCTCATCCGAACCTTGATGACGCAACGAACAGCGGCGGATCCTTTTGCGGATCCTTAAGGAACAGTCCTCTTCCGTCCCGGTGTGAGACGAAAACTCTACCTGGACCCTCCAAGAGGTGTTTCCTGGTGACAACAGGAGCCCAGAAGCACCTGTGAGGGTTCAATCACCACCTGTTAGAGGGTGCTGGTATTGAGTGGTGTGATACCGAAAATCCGTGTGGTATTCAGTTCCACCAGTGTCCACCATTTTGTTCACCTGGAACATCCGTTCTGGGTCACCAATAGACTACTCTGCATTAGAGATCGACCTCTAGCCAGGACACGAAGCAACAAATTCATGATCCGCGCAGGTGATTTGTTCGACTACATCTTGAAGCATCAGGGCATCCCAGAGGCCACCTGTGCCAAGCTCTTGCGGCAGATCGCCTCTGCCCTGAAGCACGCACATGACAAGGGCATTGCGCACCGCGATTTGAAACCGGAGACCTGGACACGAAACCTCGTCGCCAACGTGTCGGGACGGAGTGTCGTGGTGGTCCTGCATCCAGGCAGAAGTATTGAGTATATATTCTTAAATATGTCATAATAATATCTACCAGGGCCCGACTCTACAG